CTGGTTTAAAAATCAATAAAGAAAAGATGAAAATGATAGTTAAGAACATGACCAATAAAAAGAAAGAAATTTTGACCATGTAGTTGGACGTCCAGATAGTCAAAAAAATAAAATACTTAGGAATCAACATCTCGGCACGTTGCACCATGATTAAAGAAGATAACTATGACAAATTGCTGAAACAAATAAAAGAAGATCTGGAAAGGTGGAGCAATTTGAGACTCTCTTTATTAGGAAGAATATCAGTAATTAAGATGACCATTCTATCCAAAGTGCTCTTTTTGTTCCAAAACATACTCATAAAACTCGACAAGATTTGAATAAACTGACGCCAAATTTCATATGGCAAGGAAAGAGGCCCAGGATCAAATTGAAGTTATTACAAGAAGCAAAAGAAAGAGGAGGATTTGGACTTCCAGAATGGGAACTATACTATCAGGTAGCAGCACTTACCTGGATTAAGGACTGGATAAACTTAAAAGACAGAAGACTACTGCATTTAGAAGGCCATGACCCACAGCAGGGCTGACATGCATTTTTGTGGTATGGCAGAAACACTGTTCACCAATACTTCTTAAGGCATAAAATTCAGCAAGCTTTATTTTTGATTTGGAATAAAATTAAACTCCAAAATTATATGGAATTGCCAGCCTGTGTGATGACCCAGGGCGTAGCACAAAAGCAACACAGTCAAATAAGCAAGAAATGTCCTTTTAATACCTCCAACTTTGCCCCCAATGTCCAGGTTATCTTCGGATGGAGAAAAAAATCTCCCAAGAACAATTTTTAAGTGGAGGAAATTCAGTCCGAAAACAAAGTACATACAAACTGTAAATAAAAATCCACACAAACCATGCTGCAGTAATTAAATTGACAGGGCAGGAGAAGGAATTGCAGACTTGAAAGCCCAGTAAAACACACACAGTTGGGAAGACACCAAGAACCCAGATAAGCCTCGATGATACCAGATAATTTACGATTTGCTCCCAACAATTTTGCTGTGTACAGCTTCCCTTTTTAAACACTGTGTTCCCAGCTGCAGCTAATGAAGGGAATCATGGCCCTTTCTCCCCCGTAAGCCATGCAACCCACATTGCTCCCTTCTCCATTCCTCCCTGCATGCCCTAGGATGAAGAGGGGCCTGGGTCTTGCTCCGAATTCCCTCTCCCTTGCTCTACCTCTCCCCTGCTCTGCCCAACTGGCTTTTGCCCTTTGAGTTTCTTCCACAGCCAACGGAGCCACACTCCCACTCCCTGTTAGCTGCTCAGCTTCCCCATCTGAATCAGATTCTGACAGGGGCATGACAGCCTGGATATCCACGCTAGAGGCAATGAGTCCACCGAAACTTGTATAACCAGACCAAAGCTATTACTTACAAAGATATCATAAATGATGAGAGGGAACTGAAGTCGAGACAGGATCTAAAAAAACAAGGGGTAGATCTGGAATGGTGGGCTTATCTCAAAATTCAATCAAGGTATGAAAAAGATAAAAAAAACCTCAGGAATTAACATTACCCTCCCCTTTTGTAGCAACTCTTTGTCCATCAGCCAGACTAACGCACATTTGCTTGCTGCTTTCAAACCAGAAAATGCTTGTGGATTGTTAGCAATATGCTGGCTCGCCCCATTGTCCAACAACCACATATTCCTGGTGTGTTCAGTTGTTGATGCTGCCAGGGAAACAACACTGGAGAACCGCTCCACATGTGCTGAGTAGTCCTGTGCCCTTCTCTTGCTGCTCCTCTGTTTCTCCTCTCAGGGCAGCATCTCTGGAGATGCTCATTAGAACCACACATGTGGCATCTCTTCACAAAGTTCACTGTTTCAGCTGCTCTGTCATCATCCTGGACCTTTGTAGATGCTGGTCTGTGCTGAGTGCTCTCTCCTCCCTTTCCTGGTCTCCTCTCCAGCCATTTCTGCTCCTCCTCTAACAACCAACCAGTTAAATATGCCATGGTTAAATCCTGCTCTTGCATAGACTCTAGACTGGTCACAAGAACATCCCATGAACTGTCCAAGGAACTGAGCACCACATACACCTTGTGTGCCTCAGTAAATGTCATTCCTCTCTCTTCCAACTCAATGAATGTCCTTCTCATATTCTGCAGATGTGTGGACATGCTCTCCCCTGGCTTCAGTTGTGCCTTATATAGTCTCCTAGTCAGCAACACTTTACTGCGCATAGTTTATTTCATGTACACACTGTGCAACGTCTCCCAGCACTCTTTTGCAGACTGGAGAACCCTCATGTGTATCAGCTGACTGTCCTCCAAAGCCAGAATTATGCTGGCAAATGCCTTTTCATTTTTCCTCTGATCCCCATCATCCAGGACTGCCCGTGGATCAGCAACAATTGTCCACAACTCCTCCCTCCGCAGGTACATCTCCATCTTCACATTCCAGGAGATGTAATTTCTTTCATTCAGCCAAGACACCAAGAAACCTCCTCCCATTATGTCGACAGAGGTCATGTTGCCACTAACCACAATTTAAACCACTTACTCATATCAAGCTCCCACTGGGTTTCTCTTCTCTCTAGGCTTTCCAGTCACTCTGATCTTCTCTCTATACTGGGTCCATAACCTGTCAGAGCATTTGCAGTGTGACTATTATTGTGAGACAACCCAGGAGCAAAACACAGCACACAGAGACTTAAGACATTTAACAGTGGTTTATATACAAGACATATTCAGAAATATACATGGTAGGCAAAATACCTTACAAGCAATCAATCTTCTTCTTAACTCTACACAGAGAACTCTGCAATGGATACTGGACACAAAGAGAGAGAACATGGCCTCTAATTGCTGCCTTATATTAAAGAGGTAGAACCCATCCTCAGTCTTAAAGAGACAGTACTAATGCTGATTCATCTTCATTGTATCAGCCTTATATTGCATCAGCCTTATATTGCATCAGCTTCACTGCGGGTCAACTCTTAAATCCCAATACCGTAACAAAAATTCAGGATAGACACCTTAGATAAAGCACACAAATTTTTTGAACATCACTTTACAGCAAATGAAGAACAGGAAAGTAGAGAGGAGATAGAAAGTGTCAGACTGTTCATGAACTAGCAGAGACATGGTAACAAGGTCAGCCAATGAGAGCTGAATTAGAAACTGAAACTGAGGGAGCCTGTGCATGGTCCTGCAGTTCTGTGTGCTATGCTGAGAACTGAAATTATTCTTCTCTGCTCTGAGCTCTGAAGCTGCTGCTTGTATTTTGCTTGTGTTACCTTGGAAGAATCTACTATTGGTATTGTACATTTTACTCACATATTATTATGTATATAAAGAAGTTAATGAATCCTACTGAATCAGTCATCTGTATGTGCTTTCTGATTTGATTTCTGCAATAAACTCTAACGGAAAGTAAAAGTCAAGATGAAATGCAAATAGAAGAAAAAACTGTAGAAAAAGAAGAAGGAGGGAGGAGAATGAACAGGACAAACAAGAAGGTGCAAGAACAAAAACACAGAGAGAGACAAGAACAACAAGAAGGGTAAGACCTATATATAAGTGAAAAGATGGAAGACGAAGTAAAGATACTATCTGTTAATATAAATGTGAATTCTCCCATAAAAAGAAAACAAACCTTCACCAAACTACAAAAGATTAAAATTGGATATAATTTGTCTTCAAGAAGTGCACGTTAAAAAAAAATAGAGTAACTTATTGGAACACTCTATATTGGAGAAATTGTACTCATAATTAGCTCATCAAAATAAAACGGAGAGGTAGTATTATATATTAAAGAATTGTTAAAAACTAAACAAATATATGCAGATGGAAAAGGAAGAATATTAATGAGGGAGGTATTAATAAACCAGAAACAAATTCTCTTGATTGCAATATACGTCCCAAATAATCAACAAGAAGAGTTCTACATAAGTCTTCATAAAAAGATAACGGAAATGGACTATGAAAACTTATGCATCATAGGGGATTTCAATGCAATTTTAGACATTAAAAAAGATTACAAAAGCAATAAAAAAATAAAAAAGCAAGAACACTTCCAAAAACCTTCTCCAACATGATACAAGAAACAGGATATCTGCAGGATATCTGGAGAGAGCTTAATCCAAAGACAAATCAATACACATTCTACTCGAATAGACATCAATCATGGTCAAAAATAGAATAGTGTGGATGACACTACTATAATAGTATGAGGACAGAGGTCCAATAGGTAGAGATAGTAACGAACACATGGGCAGACCACAATCCTATTAAAATTGGGTGGAAGGGACAAAAGAAGAAATTGAGATGGACATTGACTCAAACTATTCTAAAAGATAGAGTTCACACAAATGATGGGGAAAAAAATCAAATTTTTCTTTAAAAAAAATAAAAAAGAGGAAACATTGTTACAAAATGTCCGGGACATGGCAAAAGCATATATGCGAGGATTAACAATTACATACATGGTAAGAAGAAACAAGAAAAAGAAACAACAGCAAAATATGTTACAAGATGAGCTTAAAGGACTAGAGAGAGAACTGCAGAAGGATCCTCAAAAAAACAAGACAAAAGAGAAAAGTTATTTAATAAAACATAAACTGAATCTAATAATGCAAGAGGAAATGGTGCAAAAATCAAAATGGCAAAACAAAACTTTTTTGAACATGAAAATAAGCCAGGGAGGTGGTTAGCATATAAATTGAAAAAGGAAAAAGAGAAGAAAATAATACACTAATTATTAGATGAAAAGGGGATCCTTCAGCACCAGAATGAAGATAAAAAGGAAATAGCTCAGGAATTCTTTAGGAAATTGTACAATCAAGAAAAAATGCCAGAAGATACAACTAAACAATATTTGGAAAAAGCTGCATTACCTAAAATACCGGAAACAGTGAGAGTACTGTTGAATGAAAGAATAATGACAACAGAAATAATGTGAGCAATTAAAAGGCAAAAATAATAATAATAAAACCCTGGAACAGATGGACTTCCCGCAGAACTCTATAAAATCTTACAAGATATACTAGGACCTTACCAAAACTGCACATTCCACATCCAGAGTTTTTTCTGGCTGCGCTGGCATACTATGTATTTCCAAGGAGAACCACACTTTGCAGCATGAAGACTTGTACTCTGGAAAGGAAGAAAGGAGGGAGGGAGGGAGGGAGGGGGGGCAGGAAGGAAGAAAGGAAGGACCAATCAGTCCTGAGTTTCAGCTGAAGCACTTAATTATAGTTCTTTTTGAAGTATCCTGAGTATTTCAAATACACTGCCAAAGAGCAGAATGATTTGAGATATTTATTTTTTTAGGATTGTGACAGTACCAGACACCATATTAATTACTGCATTTTTCTGAGTATAAGATGCGTTTACCATATTTTTCTGAGTATAAGACGCATTTTTCCACCCCCAAAAGTGGGTGGAAATGTCCGTGTGTCTTATACAGTGAATGTTGGCAAAGCTCCACCCACCCACCAGCCCCCTTTGGCCTTTGGCCACTGCCTCCCAGCAATTTGCCTCCTTACTACAAATAGCAAATAGTCTGTTTCAGATTTAGCACAGCCTGATTAACACGAACAGCTGGTTGTCGGTTGGATCAGCCTCCTGACAATCAGCTGTTTCAGGTTGCAGGGATGATCATTGCCTCTTGCCGTCTCCACACTCCCCATTTTCAGCCTCCGCATCCCATTTTTGGCCTCTGTGTGTCCCATTTTTGGCTTCTTTGTGCCCCATTTTCTGCCTGTTCTGATCCCCATTGCCAAAAATGGGGCACGCAGAGGTAAAAAACAAAACGTGTGGAGGCTGAAATTGGGCATGAGGAGACAGCAATAGGCTATGGCAATCCCAGCAGCCTGAAACAGCTGATAGTCAGGAAGCTGATCCAACTGACAACTAGCTGCTTGTGCTAATCAGGCTGTGCTGAAGCTAAGTAGGCTGTTTGCTGTTTGCTGCAAGGAGGTAAATTACTGGAAGAGCAGAGGCAGAGGCAGATTTTTTTTCTTGTTTTCCTCCCCCAAAGCTAGGTGCATCTTATACTTCAGAGTGTCTTATGCTCTGAAAAATATGGTATACACACTGGAATATATTATAGGCTGAATAATATAGGCTGGAAACTCTAAACCACTATATGCTCTCTAGAGTCAATATGTCATCTGAGTCAGTGGTGGGATTCAAATATTTTTGCCACCGGTTCAGTGAGCGTGGCTTGATGGGTGTGCTTTGCTCACGTTCACACACTTTGCATGCACGAGTGCACCAAATGCGCACTTTGCACAGGCACAGAGGTGTTCTAATTTGCCTCCTACAGGCCTGCACTATCCCGGTTGCTTCAGCAGCTACCACGCAGCACTATTCTGTGCCACGCAAAGCAGCTGCACTTCAAATTCAGTGGATAAAGATGTGTATGGGAGCCTGGGCGGGCAGGTGGGCCCAATCACTGCTACCGGCTCGCCAGAACCAGGCCAAACCAGTAGAATACCGCCACTGATCTGAGTGATGAACATTGGATGTCTTAGACAATGAAATACCTTTTTCACACACACATATATTTATTTGCTTATTTAGTTTATATAGCCGATTTATATTTATAATGGCAGGCTCACATTCAACTCAAGATTCATTGAAATCGACATACAATCTTAGGGTTGGAAGGGACCTTAGAGGTCTTTTAGTCCAACTCCTTTTTCAAAGCAAGAATCCTAATACCATCTCGGACAAATATGTGTCCAATCTTTTCTTAAAAACCTTCAACAATGAAGAACCCACAACTTGAGAAGCAACCTGTTCAATTCCTCCTTATTTCCAAGTTGGAGCTATCTCTGCCAAGCTTTCACACACTGCTTCTTATCCTGCCCTCAGATGTTATAAAGAATAAATAGACAGCATCTTCTCTGAAGCAGCCATTCAAGTATTGGAAGACTGCTATCATGTTTTCCCTCAATCTTCTCTTTGTTAAGCTAAATATACTTAGTTCCTTTAGCTGTTCATCATAAGATTTAACCCCCACACCCCTTATGATCTTTGTTGCTGTTTTCTGGATTCTTTCCAGGGCTTCAGCACCTTTTTGGTATTGTGATAGCCAGAATTGGATGAAACATTCCAACTGTGGCCTCGTCAGAGCAGTATAGAACAATACTATTACTTACTATGATCTTGAAACTATAACTTTTTTGATGTAGTCTAGGACTGCTGGTTTTTTGAGTAGCTGCAGCATGTTCCTAATTCATACTTAAGCAATGGTCCACCAGTATCTTAGATCCTTTTCATAGGCATTACTGAGCCAGTACTGCCTAGCCCAGGGGTGTCAAACTCGATTTCATTGAGGCCGCATCAGGGTTGTGTTTGACCTTGTGGGGGCAGGGGAGCATTGCTGGGATGGGCATGGCTTGGGTGGGCATGTCTGGGGTGGGTGTGGCCAGCTTGACATCACTCCTATGATGGCCAAGTGGTAAGGCAGGACTTCCCTCAGACCCTCCCTCCCTCTCATTATAAACTTCCTTCCTTCCTTTTCTTCTTTTTCCTTCCCTTTTCATTCTCCTTTCTTCTCCCTTCCCCTCTTTCCTTAACTTTCCTTTTCTCCTTTCCTGTCCCTTCTTGGATGCTCAAATGAAAAATGGGAAACATTTTGCCTTTGTTTTGCTTTAAGTTTGTTTTGCTAGCCCTCTCCCAGTGATAAACAGAGCTCAGGAGGGCTGCACACGCCCTCTCCCCCTGGGCCCCATTTTTGGCCAAGACAGCCTCCTGCAGCCCTCTGCCAGTGATAAGGGAGGTTGGCAGGACCACGTTCGGGCATCCCGGCTCCATTTTTGGCCATGATGGCCTCCTGCAGCCCTCTGTTTTTGCTGGCAGAGGGCTGCAGGAGGCAGTCACAGCTGAAAATGGACCCCAGGTGGGCACGTACAGCCCTTCTGAGCTCCATTTTCACTGGTAGAAGCACCGCAGGACAGTCCTTTGCTGTTTCCACTTAGTTTCCCATGAGAACTCTATTTAAAGTACTGTTAAGATTTTTCTGATTTCTTCAACTCTCACCCCCATACAAAAAGGAGGGTGAAGGATGCTCTTATAGATAACTATGTTTGCTTGTCTCAAAATTTATTCCTTGAAATTATTTAATACTACAGCCCCTAACCACTCCATCCGTTTCTATCAGAACTGCCACCTCACACTTGTGCTCTGCTATCGCTTGGTACAGTCTGCCATGAACTCCAGGGAGACCAGATGGGAGAGGGGAGGATTCAGGGGTAATGAAGAGTTCACTGTATTCACCAGATATGTGACTTCAAGGTCCGATAGCTGAGAATGGACCACAGCTGCATTCCAATCCACATGTGAATCAACCATTCCAAAAATTATCACTCTGAATTTGATCAGGCAATGGAGCCCAGCAGGGGGATGCACCTAAGAAGGTGAAGTTACACTTTGGGATTTTGTGCACACTTTTCAGTTCTGGCTTTGCTCTACTGTATTTCATTTGACCTTTAGCAAACTACACCTTTCTCAAGAAATGGAGTTAAGGATCATTCTTGCTTAAAGGTTCAAGTTAAGGTAGGTCTGACATTAAGCCAGAACAATTCTTGCATGGCTAAACAGGTGTCAGAATATGTTAACAAAGTGTTGCAATTCCAGCTAGACTTCAGTCCCAAGGTTACAGTAAAACACATTTGCCATTTCAAACTCTTCGAAATAATCAGGAGAGAATACTGGAGGACTGTTAGAAAGGGGTGGGAAAATCACACAAGGTTTTTTGGAGGTAACATAAACTAGACTCTATATCAGGAGTGTCAAATATAAGGCCCGCAGGCTGGATCCGACCTGTGGGGTGTTTAGATCCAGCTCACGGAGTTGGCATGGAAATTGCAAAGGTCCAGCCTGCAGTGCCTCTGCTAGCAAAAATGGGGCACCAGGGGGGCATTGTGCACCCCTACCTCCTGTTTCACCTTCCGTGGTGGTGCAGAAGGCTGTGCAGGCCCAAAATTGGGGGGTGGGGCAGCCATCACCAGTCCCCCACCCTGTTTCAAGTTTCCATGGTGGTGCAGGAGGCCATGCAGGCCCAAAATGGGATGCAGGGGGCATTGTGCACCCCCTACTCCTCATTTCAGTTTCCATAGTGGAGGAGGCTGTGAAGGCCAAAAATGGGGCACAGGGGCGTGTTGCATGCCCCCTCCCCCATTTTGGCTGCCAGAGTAGTGCAGGAAAATAGTTGGGAAAGAAAACAGTTTGGAATATAGGCAGCAATCAGAAAAAAAAAAATTGGCCAGGAAAGTATTTTTTCAAAAAAGGAGATGGCCAAAGAGAGTGGAGTCTAAATATAAGGTGGAGGGAGACACACTGTCATAGAAAAAATATGGATGGCATAGGAATGAGAAAAGCAGTTAAAAACAAATGAACTGTGGACTGGATAACAACCTCCAGTTGCAAGGAAATCCCTCTTCCAGGATCAATTTCCTAAGGCAGTGAAGTTGGGCACAATATAATTATTTGTACTGGCGGGTTCAAGAGAATTCTGAGTTGGGAAATTTTGACACCTAATTTTGCTTCATTGATACTCATTGAGAGGACTGGAAGATTTGGTGGCAGAGAGGACAATAGAAGGGATCTTTGAGGCTACACAGACTCAACTTTAGGCAGCTTTAATCTATCTGAATTTTACTAGTCAAGACAAGATGATCTTTTCCTTAGCAGCATTTTTTTCCTTTATTTCCTTTATTCTTTCAGCCTTTTTCTAACTCCAACTTTTCACTGCACTTTATAATTTGCACCAGAGGTGGGCTTCAACCAGTTTGGACTGGTTCAAGTGAGCCGGTTGTTAAGATTCTGCGCAATTCAGCCAACCGGCAAATCCCAGCACTGGCTGGTCCTGCCCACCCTACCCTGTCCCACCCCATCTCGCCTCATCCACCTTGGCCGATGGCTAGAGTCACACCCGCACCCAGCTACTCTCTGGCTCAACCAGTTGTTAAATTAGTTGAATCCCACCACTGGTTTGCACCCATTATCATTTTTCCCTATAGCTAGAAGGGCTTCTTTCCTTGCTTGAGCAGTTCCCTTGACTGCCCTTTCTGGGCTGAGTCTCCTTTTCTTTCTTCCTCTGGGGTCCTCTGCATCCTCCTGTTGTGACTTTTGCTTCTCAACTCATTTTTTCTCTTCTTTCTAAGACTATTCAGAAAATCGTACACCCCCCCCCCCTTTTTTTTGGTTTATATTCCCCGGAGAGGTAATTAAACATGTCCTTCTTTTTAACAATTTTTGCTTGTCACAGGAAAGGGACTGGTGGCTTGGCTGAGGTCTCTGGAGTCCTATGTTGACTTGGATTCTGCCTCTCTTTCTCTCTTTCCCTCTTTCTCTTCTGCCTCTCTCTGTGTGTGTCTCTGTCTCTCTCTGCATTTGGTGGTCCCAATTCTGCTTTTTCAATTAATGTCAACCGAACTAGGCCTTGATTTTTTTTTCCCTTGAGGTTTTTATGACTACTTTCTGAACTTGCACCTTCATCCTTGAAGCTGTTTGTCATATTACTGAGTTCATTATCTTCCTTTCCAACGTTTACACACATAATTCAAGTAAAGTCAAATTGCCACACTTGCTTTCTGTTTCCCTGCTCATCAATGGAGTTGACTTCTTGTTTTGAGGAAAGAGCCAAACTGTGAGCAAGCTGACTTTTCCTGATGGTTTCATTCTTATTTCAAATCAACTACCCCCCATAGATGCTACCCCTGTATCCCATTTTGGCTGCCAGAGTGCTGCAGGAGGCTGTCATTTTTGGTCTGGACATTTTAGCTGGCAGAGGGCTATAAAATCTAAAAACAAAACAAAAGGAAAAAGGTTTCCCCTTTTGCATTTGAGCATGCAAGAAGGGGCAGGAAAGGAGAAAGGGAAAGAAAAAGAAGTAAAGAGGGGGAGAGATCAAGGAAGGAAAAATAAAGAGAGGAAGGAAGAAGAAATTAGAATGAAGAGGGAAGGAAAAAGAAGAGAAGAGAAGAGAAGGGAAGAGAAGAGAAGAGAAGAGAAGAGAAGAGAAGAGAAGAGAAGAGAAGAGAAGAGAAGAGAAGAGAAGAGAAGAAGGAAGGAAGGAAGGAAGGAAGGAAGGAAGGAAGGAAGGAAGGAAGGAAGGAAGGAAGGAAGGAGAGGGAGACGGAGAGTCTGAGGGAAGTCCTCCCTTAGCACTTGGCCACCACAGGTGCCCCCCCGACATGTCACACCCACCATGACCACACTCACCCCAGTCACACCTACCAAGTCACACCCAGCCCTCAGCCACTCCCACCCTAGCCCTGCCCGATGTGAAAAACAGTCCTGATGCAGCCCTCAATGAAATCAAGTTTGACACCCCTGCTCTATATGGTCCTGAGATCTATATATCCTCCTCAAGTGTAGAAGATAAAGTTGCTTATGTCAAATAATATTTTGCTATTTAAGATGAAAATGTTGCTCAGAATTATCCCAAGACTCTTATATTGGTTATGAGCCACGTATCTAACTTATTATACTCTGAGCATAAATGTTAAATGCAAACAAAGACTGCATATTAAAATTGCAAAATAACAAAATGGCTAATATTCATGCCATATCTACTGACCAAGAAGCATTCCCATATGTTCATGTGTACTAGAATGCTAATTTATACTGATCATATAAACATTTTAAATAGTATCTGAAGAAAAAATGGAAATTTATGCTCAAATGCAATATATTATTAATGAAAAAATATGTTACAGGTTTTTAATACTAAGAAAAATGATTATACAGTATGATTATATATTGAAAAACATGTTTTCTGCACAACAAACATACTTGTCTTAGAATCAGGCAAAATGCATTATTTAAAGAGAATCTGGTTTGACACATAAAATAAAAAAGTATTTCAATGCAAAATGAACAATGATAGAACTTTTAAGCAGAATAATAAAATAACCATATAGAAAAACCTACCATTATTTGCCCCTTTGCTTGTTTCAAGCTTCTCTGTTGATGATCTCTGAGAGTACTGAACACCATCTGATTCCTCCAGTAAACAGTTATGTTCATACTGCTGCTCTTCTTTATCTTCAGCAATAAATACAATTATACCTAAGCAAATAGTTACCAGATGTTCTATTAAGTAAAGAATCAGTTTCATAAGATCAATTGCTACCTTCATCTCAATGCTAATATTGTGCTTAATTACAGAAGAATATCCAAAATTTTAATTCAAATTGAGTTTTGATATTTCTTTTATCTGACCTATATCTTGGTTGCTACTCTTACTCCAGTTATTCAAGGTTATTCGTCTGCCTATTACACACACTTGCTTGGAAAAAATATAAAATTCCACAGAAATATATAGAATTGAATGTAAGGAAAATAATAGTGGTGGATGAAGTTAAACACACTGTGGATAAGGAAAAAAAGCCATGTAAAACAACAAATGCTGCAAAAAAGACATGAAGATATTTCATAATGTATATGTATAAAAAGATGCAGTTAAACCATAATTAAGAGTTAGAAAACATCCTTACATATTGTGTTAAGGTAATAGTATGGTATGCTGGCTTGACATCTGTGGACAGAAAGCATTACAGAGGGTGATGAGCAGGGGTGGGAGTCCACCAGTTCTCAACTATTCGCTAGAACCTGTTGTTAACTTTCTAAGCAGTTCGGAGAACGGTTGTTGGAAGAAATCTCCCCTCCCCCACTTTACAGTGCTAATCCTGTAAGAAAGGCAGGAAGGAAACATTCTGGTGTTGTTTCTAGAGTAATCTTTATTGCCCTGCTTACATAAACTGCCTCTCCATTAACCCTTATTACATTCTTGGGAATAAGCCTAGACTCCAGAGGTTTTTTTTTCTTTGCTGGTACTTTCTTAAAGGGGAAGGGTTGTTTTAAGCTTTTACACTGCTGTTGGGAGGAAATACTCCCCTGTTGGAGTTTCTCCAGCTGGGATCAGCACTTTGAAGAAATAATTGAATAATGAAGCAGAGCTGCTGGAAAGACAAAGAACCAAGATGAGTGACATTCAGCAAGGCTTCTTGGCTAGCTAGAAAGATTGACATTCAAATGTAAGTTTACATACCCTTTCTGAGTTTTAGTCTAAAACTGGTTTTTGGTGAAGTTTAATTCTGTGCTTGGTGATGTTTAATGCTGTGTTTATTGATGGGATAATTTTCCCTATTCAGCTTTGTTTGGAAGGAAAAAGTTTAACCTCTGTTCCAGAAAAGAAACTGGGTTGAGAAATCTGGCTAGTTCCTATGTCTGTTTGTCTATTTGTTCTGGTAATTGGATTAACAAGCAACAGCTACTGTAGTGATTTAATTATTTGTATTGTGTTCAAATTTTTCCTGCCTCATGGTTTCTTTTTCTATCTGGGGAGGGGGTCTTCCTTCACTGCTTTAGTGGTGCTTTAGTGATTCCTGGCACTGTCCTTTTGGGGTGTACTTCCAAGAGGCAGGATGCAAGCTTGGCACTGATACTTTTACTGCCTTTCTGGGGGGCATGTGACCTTTCCTTAAATCTGGATGATTTCCTTGGGATATCTTGTGAGGTGAGTGAGACCAGCTGGTGTCTTTAAGTGGTGCAAATGGATCTTAGGATTGCTTCTCCTGGGTGTGCTCTTTCTGGAGAGCTTAAATGACCTCTCTGCTAAAGGATTTCACTTTATGAGCAAAAGTTGGCTGCTGATAGTTATCATTGTATTTTAACTATTTTCATTCCTCAAGGTAGAAATCCTGCCTGATTTGTAACTCCAGCTTGCAGGCATTTTTAATTTAATGACTGCTATTTAGGGCAGCTTTTTGCAATCAAAGCTTTTTGTATTTTTGTACACGTAATCCTTGACTTTCTAGAGTTCATTTAGTGACCATTCAAAGTTACAATGGCACTGAAAAAAGTGACTTATGACTGTTTTTCACCTACAACTGTTGCAGCATCCCCACGGTCACAAGAGGCCAGGCAAGGAGAAGCACCCTCGACTTGAACTACGTCGAATTGGCCATGCCCACCCAGTCATGCCTACCCAGCTGGTTATTAGGTCAAAGAACTGGTTTTTAAATTATTTGAATCCCACCCCTGGTGATGAGCACAGCCCAAAAAATTATGGGCTACCCCTTGATATTACTGGATGAAATTGCCAGGACCTGCTGCCTCAGCAGAGTGAGGATAATCCTCAGGGATGATTCACATTCTGGTCAGCACTTCTTTACTTGCCTATCATCGGGCAGGAGATATAGAAGCATAGCCAGCTGAATGAATAGACTGAAAAATAGCTTTTAGCCATGGGCCGTCAGATTTCTGAATGGAACATAACACCACAATTTAATATGATAGATTTGCAGGACCAGTGCAACATGTTCATATTGATGTAATATAATATGTTACATACATATAGGTATATGGGTGTTAGCCTTCCAGAAAACCTCAACTCCAATCAATAACTCTGAGACAGACATGCTCTCAAAGTTTCTTTTTATTAGAGTAGTAAACTAGCACATCTGGGAAATCCTGAATCTGAAAGTTCCAGGTTTCCCTCCAATAAGTAAAAAATTACAAATCCACGCACTGCACCCCGCATTGCTTCACATGCCCCAATCACCATCCCTCCTACGTGAGACATCCCCTCAACCATTCCTCAGCCAGGTTTGCTTGTCTGGCAAACCAACTGGTGTCTGGGGGCTTCCGTGGGGCTTTGCTGCCTTTGGAAGCTGTAATGGGCCTTGGTTGCAGAACCAGTGCAGGGGCCAGACATTCAGAAGCACGATGACCCACTTGACCAGAATGGTAGTATTTGATAATTCCTGTAGATTGGGTAGGAACAGCTTCAGCAGTTTTAGTCAGAGGACGTCTGGCCAAAGTTCTCCTAAGGGGCCTCTCAGAGAGAGGTTTTTGGTGTGTGTGAATTTCTCTATCCAGAACAGTGGACATGGCATACCAGTCTTGCAGTCGCTCTGGTACCTTTCAGATGCCACAGGCTATTCTGACTTCTGGATCTAAAATAGTGCAGAACCCATCTAAAGTCCCATACAAAGTCTTTTATAGGTTGATTACCTTGCTTCATAACTTTTATTTTGTCTTCATTTTCACCTACTCTGTCAGGGTCTTCAAATCTAGCCCAGAGCAGCTCAACAAATCCATCTTCATCATTTAGCTCCACAGCTTCCTTATTGTGTAGCTGGGCTATCCAGGTGGAAGCTTCATTCATCCCATCTGTGATTGTGGAAACTAGGTCGCGCTCTGTTTTGTATTGGTTTCCATATTGATCTATATGTGCCCAGATTCGGCTGAGGAAATAAGCAAGTTTTTCAGGCTTCCCATCAAATGTTGCTCTCAACCTTGGTGGTGCTGGTCTCACTGGGGAAATCATCATGGTGACCGCCAGCTGACCTGAAATCTTTTTTTTTTCCCCAATTTTTTTATTTCAATCTACATATAACAACAATACATTAACAGTGTGGCACCAATATATCATACATCTCTCATTGCACATATTCATATTAATTCATACTTCTTCAATATTTAAGTTCAACCTTACTCTCTCCAAATGCCTACCACCATATCAATTAAACATACATAATAATTCCATTATTGTTTTCTCCCTGTTTTCATTTTATTATTTTTTTTAAATAAAGAATTCTCATTTGGTAAGCAGTATGATTCCAGGTTTCACATCTCAATACAAACATGACCATAGTTATCTATTCATTTTATTTGTTTAATTTCATATGTGTCATCCTTGTCATTATTAAATATTAAGTTTATCTTATCCAATCCCAATTCATGTTCTCATATCTTATTTTACAATATTATCTAAAATTCTCATCTCAATTCTATGTTCATTTATTCAATTCCAAATCCTGATATATCTCCTTCCATTTTTCTTAGTATATTCTCATATCTTATTTTACTATGTTACCTTAAATTCTCATCTCCTTTCTATTGTCATTTCTCATATTATTATTTTTTCTGTTACATTTGTCATTTTATCAGTCCTTATCTGTAAATATAATCATCCCCTCTAGTTAGTAATTCGAGTTAACCACCTTCATTCTTCCTTAATATCAATCTCCCTATCTAGTATAAAAACACAAATATATATATTTTTCTCAGATTCTGCATTATATTTTCTCTATAAATCTATACATTACAAAATGCTATTTTCAATATATTCTTATACATCCCAACACATTGCCTTGTGGAATCCCCTTTCTAATCCCTTTTTTTTCACCCATTATCTCTCACTCTTTGAACAATGTACCTTCTTTTCATCGTTGTTTGTTTCCTGTTCCTCTTTATTTTCTGGTCCTTTTTCTTAATTCCCTTTTTCCCCATTCTTATTCCCCTCTTATTCTCATTCCAGTTATTAAACTTTTCTCTCTCCCTCTTTTGATTTTTCTTTTGCCCTTCCTTTTTCTGCTTTTTCGTTCTCTCTTTAACCATTTTCCGAATCATTCTCCCTTTTATCATCCCATCAGACCACAAATTTGTAATTCTAATTCCTTTTCCCCCCTGCTTAGATATTGTTGTTCATTTTGTCCTTCTAAGTTGGCTTCTTCTTTATAAAACTCCTCCCCCTCTGCTTTATTATGTTCTTCAGTATGCTGAGTCACCATTTCTAATTTCTGTAATACATAATTACACATTTCAAGTTTGATTTTTATCATGTTCCTTGTATCCTGCATATCCGATCTTATATCTTGTGAGTCCAGTCCTATATCAACAAATAGCTCCTCCATTATATCTTCTCCTTTTTTCTTTTTCTTTCCTTTTCCTTAATAGCTGAAATCCCCTTCTTTACTAGATATATTCAATCCCAGAGTCCAATATATTATTTCAGCCAACATCTTTTAAGTTTATTTTCAACAATTCATATTCTTGAGTCTTTATTCCAAATCCTCTGATTGGCCTCCCAACTGTTTCCCAAATTACTGGCAATAATAAAGTTCCTTTTATTTTCTTTCAAGTTCCAAGTCCAAACTCTCAAAGACCAGACACTTGTTTTAAAACGGACTAAAGTTTTCCTGTACCATCAGGTGGCGCTCTTGAGTCTTTTTCTTTTTAACTTTCTTTGTTGAATATAAAATTTTTATTAAGTTTGCTAATTTCAATCATTAGCTATTCTTTTCAACACACTCAGCATTTAGTTATGCCCTTTAAGTGCCCACAGTTCAATATCTGTCCAGATTAATTTTTAAACCTTTGCTGTTAATATATTTTCCTCTAAATTTGTCCTTCAGATTAGTCCAATAGAATAATCAAATCCAAATTTAAAAACCAATTTCTTTCTCACGTTCTCTGGTCGCCACTTCCACATACTTCCCTCCAAAATAGCCCTTTAATCTGATACTGGGGTACCTCAAAAGTGATGTCCTTTGCCTGGTTCACACTCTGCTTGCTACTACTCTCTCCAGCACAAAACTTAGTTTCCCAGAGTGTTCTTTGTCTTTCTGGTGGCCATTTTAGGACCACTGCTACTTGCCTTTGGGAGGGATTTTCCTGTCAGGAAGGGGAGCTGCAGCTCCCCTCAACCCTCCAGGTGATTTCCCCCTTCTTCACTACCCCACCAAGGTGGCTCCAGTCTCGACTGGGACCCTCCAGCAAGTGAGCTCAGGCAAAACCATGCACGATCGTGGATTCCACACCAACAAGGAACAAACCAGAAGTCCGGCTGACCTGGAATCTGCTGGGGCACTGCTGTGGGTGGCAGGAGGGGGCCCTCTCTAGCCAAATGGAATATTGCCAATGCCATGCTGAATCCACTGCCAGGTCCTAGATCGGGAAAAGTGAATGTGGGGAAGATGTTCAGGTGGCCTCTCCTCTGGTCCCATTTCTGGATTTAGATCAGTCTGGCAACTTTTCCAGGAATCCGTTTCCTTGGGCTGAGTGCCCAACCTTCATCTCTCTTCTGCAGCTTCAATGGCTTGCACAAATTTTTCAGAAGGAGGATACTAGGTCTCAATCAGTCCTCCGGTAACCATTCTCACAGCTCCTTCTGCGATCTCCTCCTTCTCCTCCATCTTCACTGAGTCTTTGCACCACCCAAACTTTAGGTCAGTACTGGAGCTCAGCACCCTGGACAACTCCCTTTCGGGGTGCTGGTAGCTATTTGGAGATTCAGGATAATGTCAGCATTCCAGTAAACCTCAACTCTAATCAATAACTCTGAGACAGACATGTTCTCAAAGTTTGCTTTTATTAGAGTAGTAAGATGGCACATCTGGGAAATCCCGAATCTGAAAGTTCCAGGTTTCCCTCCAATAAGTAAAATCCACCCCCTGCACCCTCATTACATCACATGCCACAATTACCATCTGTCCCAACTTGAGACATCCCCTCAACCATTCCTCAGCCAGGTGCAGAAATAACATGACCTTGACTTTAAAAAAGAATGCTATTATGTCTAACCACATGTGTTCCACGAAATTCCCCCCTCCCATTTTCCCAGGCTCAAGAATGTGGCATTGTGGAAGCTAATATTGCTTGCAAAGTTGACAATGGGAATGTGTATTACTTATTTGGGTTTAGGGATTCTATTTCTGTCAGATCCATGTATCTGTCATTTCTTCAATGGAAGAAGAAAGGGGGGGGGGGAGACTGATAAAGAAATCCTTCTTGATGTAACCTGAATATATTTAATCTGATATCGAATATGTATAACTTACACATGATACAATGGAGGGATGAAACCCAGATGGCCAGAACCTATCACCTCTGGGAGAGACAGCCAGGGATGAAGAGGACATAAAAATTCCACAGTGAGATGTGTCCTGGGAAACTCTGGAAAAGGTTGTTCTAAAAAGGAGGTGGGGGAATTAACATGTTGGCTCTTTGTTTTACTAAATACACATCAAGATAAGGGGAGGGGTTTTAAACTCCCTTATCTATCCTGGTATGCCTGAGAGACCTTAGACGCTGCTTTTAACCCCTGCATGAATTGTCTCATCTCAATAAAGGATTCCTTTTGATACGTTTTGATACATTTTCAGAAGTTCATTCTAGTTGATTGGGAAAAGTTCTGTAGCCTGACAATTTCTTTCATTTGTTGAGTTATTGAGATGTATTTTGTGTTAAGGGGAGGTTGCACCAAGGGAGGGTCATTCAATTTCATTGTATACATGTTGTGCATTGACAATAAATATTTGATTTGGTTGTAAAAGGCAGAAACTATGCAAAGTAATGTGTACTAAGAATGAATGCAAAAGCTACAACGGTAATTAGTTTGTTATGCAAAGTTGAAGAGACGTTTGATAGAATTCTGATTGAAATGATGCAGCAGATAATAATGAAAAAAATCTGGGAAGTGCAGTGTGACATTATGCCAGCTAGATGATGTACAAAACAAATTTTTGTTCTTCAACAAGTCATTAAGGACTGTTTGAACTTTAAAAGGTTTATTATTTGTTAATCTAACATGAATAACCTTCAGTTATGAGATGTTTTGCTAACAGTTTTTCCAGAAAAATCACATAATATCCTTGAAGCAAGTAACGTGTACAAAGCTAACTTTAATAGAGATGTAAAGGATATATGGTACAGTAAAAATTTAAACTATAGAAGGTGAAACTGGGATTCAATTTTAAAAATTTGTTTCATTGTGGCAAAAGTTGTTTCATTCGAGTATGAATCCATTTCCAGAACTGTTGAATTTTGCAAGATCACCATCAGATATGAAATAATGATCTGCTCATTACATATCAAACAAATTTTAGAAAATGATTTATCCATTTTATTAATTAGAATTGGAAAAAATATATAGCTATAGTGAGATATTCATTGTGAGCAGATCTAACTGCATTAATAGTCAATTCAACAACTTCAACAACTATTAAGATTGGTTAACAATAAATTAGAAATTCCAGAGAAATTCCCAGCTTCCAAAGGAAAACTGTTCTGCCAAATTTTAAGTAATTAACACTAAACATATTTTCTTCTGCAGTTAGAAAAAGAGAGGAATGGAATAGTTTCTCTATTAACAACTTAGATGTCACAGTTAGCCGCCTTGAAAGATTTTTTTTCCTTAAAAACATTAGGGTAATTGTGAAGAAGAATTGTGAGAATTAAGGTTAAAAAAAACCTTTTTCAAACTCTTTTTCTCAAGGAAAAAATAAAATCATTTCTTATCAATTAGGTGCTAGAAGCACTCAGACCAAAAGAATTCTGCAACTGAAACAAGACAGTGAAAGTATTAACCACAAGAAAGCTAACTACAAAGAATAAGGAAATAACAATAAGGAAGTAATTCCAGCTTTTTAGATGATGGCTAAAGCAAGGATTTCTTTGACCTTTTCTTTTTATTCTAGGGTGAGTCAGAGGTGGGCTGCTGCTGGCTTTTGGGGCTCAGGCAATCCCCTAGCTAAGGCTTTGCGGAGC